ACACACACACACACACACACACACACACACACATGCACACACACACATACACACACACACACACACACACACACACACACAAACAAACAACACAAACAAACAACACACACACACACACACACACACAAACAAAAAAACGAACTTTCCCCTTTTTTTTTTTCGGAGGCCCCGTGCGGCCTCAATTTTTTTTGTGGTTTATGACGCAACATCCCACTCGGATCTAAAACACCCCTCCCTAACTCTTTTTTTTTTTTTTCTCGACCCCTTATTTTCCGGGTGCGCCGCACCCAGTGCTCGCGCGTCGTGCGCTGTGCGCAGTGCGGCGCGTGTGCGCGCTGCAGTGCACGTCGATGCGCTGCAAGTATGGAAATATATATAGTCAAACAGAGACATATATTATATAGCTGTGCCCCGATGAGGAGAAGACAGCTTGAAAAAAAAAAAAAAAAAAATCCACAAAGAAGGGAAAAAGTTCCGAAAAACTGGGAGCACAAGAACTGGAAAAAGATAAAGGACTGTCGGACCACCGCACTCTTTCCAGATACATCTGTAGCAGCAGCACTGTGATGCTGCCCTTTATTTGCTGTTTTTTCTTGTGTGCGAGGAATGAGCCCTCACGGGGCCCTTATCAGACATGCACATGTTCTGGGCAGTGGCCCTCAGCCAGCCCTGTGCCCGCCCTAAGTGAAGGCAGGCCTGAATATTCACAAGAGGCCAAAATTTGACATTTTTCCATACGTGGGTACTCAGACAGTTGCAGCACGCCAGTTGGTTAAAAGGAAACGTGAGCCTCCCAGCTCTTTCCAGAAACATGGTCTGTGCTGTACAGTTGAGCCCAGGGCCGAGTGGTTGAGCCCTGGGTGCAGGCATTTGTGAGGCCGACACATCACTCAGTGGTCGCGGACGAATGAGAATGCAGCATTATCGTCACACAACTGCCGTGAGCCAATGAGAGTGCAGCAAACACTTATGGCTGGACGCCGCCCTGGACGAGCGTAACTGCATAGGGCCCAGGCCCCAACTGTAGACTTGGGGCTGCGCACAAGTACCGGGGCCCAACCGGAAGCTACTGGAAAGCTTCCAGCCAGGCCCACATGCAGCCAACACAGTCCATATAGGAAGGAGGGCAGCCAGGGTCTGGCATTCTGGCCTGCACAGGCAATGCGGACACGCTGCTGCGATAGTGCGCTAGAGTCTGCTTGCTGCGCTGCTGGCTGGGGCGCATGCGGGCGCTTAGTGGTGAGTGGGGCGCTGCGGGGCAGCAGGGCGCGAGCGGCCATAGCCGGGCTGCAGGGCACAAGGGGGTAATCGGCGACGATGGTCTTCTGGAAGGAGGCACGTGTGGGTGGTCAGGGGGTGATGAGGGGAGACGAGATACATACCTGGTGCATGAGGGAGGTCGGCATTGGTGTTGACGTCATGTACATTGGTCTTCAAAGTCGAAGTGAGCCTGTTGCGTGAATGCGGATGTAGTAGGATAGGCTAAGTAGAGTAGGGGAGGGCGCTGGGCGCCATACAGTAGGAGTGACATTGGATACTGCGTTGGTGTGGCCTGAGGGCATGAACATTGGCTCATGAGTTCATTGTATCGCTCTTATGTGGATGGAATCTTGGCACATTTATGCTCTCTGCTTGGTACATGACTACTTGGACATCTGTGTGATTTCGCAACTTGGCTTTCTGTATATCGTTCTCACTCATATTCCTTGCATGTGTGTATTTTTCGTTTTTTCCTTTGTTGTTTTTTTTTCCTGTGGGTTGCCTTCCTTGTCAGACATTCACGAATGACACCCTGTCTGTTGCACCTGTTATTTTGCACCCAACCGTTCTTTTTCTTTCATTTGCATTGCTGGACATCTCGGTGTCCCCTTCCCCCCCTTCCCCCCCCACAATCCGCTCGCCCTGACCTCTACCGCTGCTCGTTTTGAGCATCCAAGGAACCTCCACACATGCCGGAGGGAGGGGAAAAAAAAAAAAAAACCGGGGTGGGGTACCGGAGCTTTAAAGAGTTGTGAGCCTCAGCACCACTTAAAAAAAATTGACAGCAATTTCGACAGCAGAGAGAAAACAACAAGACGGGAAACGAGGCGCAATATCCACAAACCAAAAGAGAGAGAAAAAGAAAACCATAAACAAGTTGCAAGTGTTTGAATGCTCAGTCTGTCTGGACAAGCTGCAGTAGGACTGTGCTGTAGAAACAGGATGCCTCTGCTATTTTGATGCTTTTCGAACCTCAACAACGGCCGTGAAGCAGGCAGTTCTCTCATTCCTCTTGCTTTCTTTCTTCTTCTTCTTCTTCTTCTTTTTTTTTTTTTCCAGACCATTCTCGATTTATGCGTGCCATCCTTCTGCAGGGGCCATGGTAATCTTCTTTCTCTGTATCGTTCCAATTTTAACAGATGTCCCGAAGGACTCTCATCCCTCTTTCTTGTTGTTGTTCTTTATCTCTTTTCTGTAACTTTCTCTTTTCTTTTCCGATGGAGGGATTCTCCCTGTGGAAAAACACAAAAAAGAAGCATACCTGCCAAGGGTAATCAATACTCCCGGATGGAGGGATTCTCGCCGCAAATCCAAAGACAGCCCCACCGACGATGGAAGTGGCAAGCGTAAGGATGTAGAGGTCATCGGTCACACCAGGCACAAACCTGCACCGCAAAACCGTATGCACACACACACACAGACACACGCACACACACACACACAGAGAGAGAGGGTGGTAGAGAGAGAGAGAGAGAGAGAGAGAGAGAGAGAGAGAGAGAGAGAGAGAGAGAGAGAGAGA